TAAGGTCCCTAAGGTCAGGACTTTGACCTCAGGCCTAGTTCACTACACCATATTTCATATTTCACCATAGGAAATGAATGAGAACACTCCTCACACTCAGTGCTGCTGTCAAGTCACCTGAAGAAAACAGAAACTCACTGTTGGAATTGAAACTCACAGAAAGTAATCATCAGATAAATGTCTAGAAGTGGCTAACGTTTGGAGCCATTTTGATTAAAGATGGCTGCCACAGCTATTGCAGCAGCCTGGCAGTCCCTGTCAAAGTTTCTCCAGGAACTTTCTAGTTTTCTTTATCATGGTACACACCAAGTTCTGGGTAACAGTTTTTCCTTCTGACCATGTTCAGTGGTTTGAATAACAATTAGCTGAGTCTGAGTGATACTGTAACTGTGCTGCAGCTTTTACTTTCATCATTGCTGTGTTTTTTTGACTGCTAAGTTCATGGCACAAACCAACGCAGACACGTTCCTGTTTTTAGTATTTTATAACGTAGCTGTTTTTTTTAAAATATAATTTCTTCCATTTACTTAGCTGTGTTCTTTGTTAAATCAGGTCTCTCTTGTAAATGAGTCCTTGAGGCTGTACATGAGAGAAATAAAGGTTGAATTGAATTGAAAAATTTAACAGTAGTTTGTTTTAAACTTTGCACTATTTATTTTCTTGCAACTGTCTGATTTAGAGGTTGTGTTGCTGTTTGCTGGCACATCATTTATACTTGTAGATAGGATTATGACAGGTTTTAGCCAAATTTGTGCAAAAAAGGCTAATCTGAAAGTCTTGCTCGATGATGCTGCTACTCGTTTCAAACATCCGTCTGTCCATTCATTATCTTTACCTGCTTCTTCATTTTCGGGTCACTGGTGCCCATATCCAGCAATCACTGTGCGAGAGTCAAGGGACACCTGGACAGGTCTCCAGTCCATCACAGGGACACATGGAGACAAACGAGACAAACTACCATTCACTCTGTCACTCACACCTAGGGACAATTTAGTTACTAATCAGCCTAACATGCATGTTTTAGTCTGTGGGAGGAAACCAGAGTACGATACCTGGAGAAAATCCACGCAGCACAGAGAGAACATGCAAACTTCACCCATAAGGGCCCCAGGCCGGGATTTGAACTGGCGACCTTCCCGCTGACAGGCAACTGCTCTACCAACTGTGCCACCGTGTCGCCCACCAGTCCAACAGCTATTATTTATTACCCAATCGTTGTTTCTAAAATGTAATGTTTTGCTTTGTTTGTGTGCAGAGAGAAGATGGCCTTTTTCACCAGACCATGGGTCAACATACCCCCTCTACCAGCTGACGATGTATGAGGCCAAAACTCTGCATCACAACTAAACATGAAGTTTTTAGGGATTTTTATCTCATGAAGTACAAAGTTGTTTTTGCTGCAGGAAGCATGACCTGCCGATGAAGATCCAAATGTTTCACCTCTTCAGAAGCATTCGTCTTTTTTACAAACATCAACAAGTAGATACTTGGTGACACCCAGACTGTACAGTTTTTGTTTTTGTAAAGGTTTTTAGTAACCCTTTTCTTTCCTCCTATGAGGTCCTTATGTTTGTGCTTACAAAAGGCTGGAAGACAAAAGTCAGTTTGGACACATTCACTGTACTGTAACTTATTTTATAGTACTTTCCTTGAAGGAAATAAAACACTTTCTGCTTCTTAAATGTATTTGTAGCTTTGAACAAATAGCACTTCGGTGTTTTTAAATACAGTAAAATGAAACTATTGCCCATTTTTTCTGTTCTTTAAATCTTGAGCTATTTACATAAAATGTTTAATCCACTTGTGATTATTTTGTTATTAATATTTTTTCTTGTACTTTTCAATACATGATTATATAAAAAAACTAATTGTTTTTTTATTATGTTTGTATGTGAATTTTAGCAGTGTTACTTACAGTGACTATAAAAAGAGATGACTCTGGACATGGTGGTTTATCAGGTGGGATTTGTTCATGTGGCGATCAGCCCTGAGCTGGGATGAACAGCACTTCCTGTTCTGAACTCGCAGACACTTTCTTCAAATGTGTCAGCTTCGTGCAATTTCTCTCTAGCCACAAGCAGGTTTTGGCGACCCCATTTGTAAATTTGCAGATTCTTGAGAAGCTCCACCGCATGTCAGCGAGGGAGGAAGCTGCATCAGCTACTTATCTCCAGACGACTTCCTGTCGAAGCACAAGTTACCAGAAGCCTGGAGGCTTCACATGTGAGCCAACGACAGAAGCAGCTCCGCTGGATTTCTGCTGGAGTGTGACGCATCAAGGCCGACCAGACGCAGCGTGTGTGTCAGGGCTGCTTGTGTTTGAAAAAACTGTTGACTTCTCTGCAGGTAATAAATTCAGGTCTCGGCTTGTCTCAAGTGTTTGTGATGACTGGGAGCAGCAGGGACGTTTCTCAGAAGAAAATAAAAGCGAGTTGAATTTAAAGTGCACATTTCAACACATTCAACTTCCCCTGCAAGAACACAGTTCAGCACGAGTCCTTTGAAGTTAGACGACAGTAGTTTTTTCAGTACAGTACTAGAACTTTTGTTGAAAACAAGGTCTAAATTGACCCAGAGTAGCCATTTCCTGAAACAACAAATTTACTTCCATTAAAAACCTGGGACTTCTTTTAATCTACTGGTAAAATGCTGATGCTTTGATGTATAGACTGTAAAGAGAACCGTGATGAAATGTAAAAGTGGCTGCTAGTGTCTCATTAGGGTTGCCATGGTTCAAGTCAATTCAGTTTCAATTCAGTTCATTTTGTTTATAAAGCACCAAATCACAACAAAAGTTATCTCGGGGCACTGCGCAGAAACATTCATAGGTATACAAAAGTCAGTAAAGTTCTCTATCTAAGGAAGACTCGTTGAATCTTCACTTGGTTTCAGTCTCCCATCTTGAGCAAGCACAGTGGCAACAGTGGAAAGAAAAAACTCCCTTTTTAAAAGGAAGAAACCTCCAGCAGACCCAGGCTCAGGACGAGCGACCATCTGCTTTGACCGGCTGGTTGAGAGGACAGGAAGGAGAGATGAACACCAGTCCAGGTGTGTTCAAATTGACTTTGAGGAAAGTCAGTTCGACAGACAGAAAACACGTTAAGATATAAATAATTACAAATACAAAAAGGTAGCGCAATTAAAGACAGCAGGAGAGTGAGGAAATGTGGTCAGTTTGTCCTCCAGCAGTCTAAGCCTATAGCAGCAGAACTAAGGGACAGCTCAGGAAACCCAAGCCACCGTTAACTATAGGATTGATCAAAAAGAAAAGTCTCAAGCCCATTCTTCAAACTGGACAATGTGTCAGCCTCATGGACAGAAACTGGAAGTTGGTTCCACAAGAGAGGAGCCTGAGAACTGAAAGATCTGCCTCCCATTCTGCTGCTGGAAACTCTAGGAACCACAAGTAAACCTGCAGCCTAAGTGCAAAGTGCTCTGTTAGGAAAATATGAATCAATGAGATGGAGCTAAGTTGTTGAGCGCTTTTTATGTTAAACATTTGTAATGTTAATGTTTGTTATGGTAACTATACACTTCTGTCATTCCCTGACAGCAGGAAAAAACCACAAGTCCTAATATTGAGACACTGGACAAAAACAAGAATGAAGCGTAAAAGTTGGACAGGTTGAATTTTTTTGTGTGACATCAAACTAAGTTAAACATTATGTGAAAAAAGTCAAAACCTATACTACATTTGTATAAATACATTGGAAAATTTCAAAACGCCAGTTCTGTCATAAGTTTTGGGCTCAAAAAGAACTGGGTTTGCTCAACGGCTTCACCAAAATCCAATAATGCTTTAATTTTTTTAATTGCCTTTTTTGGTGGTATGCTTAGTCTACATTGTACTATTTCCAAATGTACTATTTTGGTAGCAGAATAATACTATTTCAGATTGCGCTACCAAATTATATTTTTTTTATATGTGCATTTACTAAAGTTGTGGGGAGATTTACTCAAACTGTGACAGAAACAAAAAAAAACCAGCTGAATAATGACGATGGCTGCTTGGATGTTTAATGACACTTTGCCTCTTATTTTTAACAACTCAAACTACTTTGCTCATTTAAGTTCCAAAATAAAATGACAGCAATCCACTGAGTCAATGTCTTGTCGATCAGTTGTTTTAGGGGGAAAAAGAATTACAAAAAAATGTTCCAATGTTTTTCTTTTAAGAGGTGGATTGAAGTGTATCCTGGACTCCTCAAGCAGCCAGGCCTTACAGAAACAACAGCTCGTCTTTAAAAACTGTTATTAAGAGCAGCATGGCAACTGTTTAAACTCAGTCACATCATGAATAAAGACAGAATATGGCCTAGATGAGAATGTCAAACTGAAAATATACCTTTGGATCTATCACATGAAGTCTAATCAAACATGCAGATGTGTAAAATGTGCATTTAATTGACGCAGTTGACCGTTTTTAAAACAACTTCAAGGTGTAAAAGCACCATTAAAACAAATGTGTATTGATGAAACTCGAGGAGAAAAAAAAGTTGAGAAACTTCTGCTTCAACTTGCATTTGCGCCAATACTTTTCTACATTCAGATTTTTTTTTTAAAGAATTTAAAAATTGTGACCATGTTCCTGTTCATCTCGGCAGAAAGCGACAGCGTTCCAGGAAAGTGTCGTCAGATTTCAGTCCCGTCTCTGTCCTCTGGTCAGTTTTCTAGAATGGGGATGGAGACGATGGTTGGAAGTTCACCAATTGGAGGTGGAATATACTTCTCCACCCTCATCAGCCGCCGCAAAATGTCATCTCGATCTCGAGGCCAACAGTAGACGTGAGTGTTTTGAAGCCAGTTGGGAACGTGACACTGCAGGGGGAACAAATTAGCATGGAGACGATCACTGCTTAGTGTGAGGCTCCTAATGTAAAAAACATTTGTTTAGCTCTAAACAATTCCTCACTGACAGAACATGAAGAAACATACTTGAAATTAAATATTTTACCTTTTTAGCCCCTGGAAACAAGATAGGAATGAACCGAAAATTCTTGCTTCCATTCTGGATGAATTCAGTCTGAAGCTGATAAACAAAAAGGAGGAGCTCCACGTGAGCTTTAGAGTGCAGGTCCTGCAGTGGTGCTGAGTGTGGATGAAGAGGCTGACCTGCTTATGGATGTAAACGGTGTTGAAGGTCCTGTCGTCCTCCAGCTCAAACGGGGAGGCTGTCACCGTCTCGTAGTACTTGGGGCTGATGATGATGATGATCAGATACTCTTTCTGAAAGAGCAGATGGCAGGAGTGCTCATCACCAACTCCGCTTGATTTCCCAATACTTGTGTTCAACTTTTCAGACAAGTTTCATCGTGCACAAAACCAAAGACCGCAGGACAGTGCAACTACTTGCCTAAATGTAGAGATTTTTATCTTCCAACTTGTTTTTCAAATTCTGCTTTTCACAATTTTGTCTTTGTAGTTGAAGTAATCAGACTGATCTTACCTCACTGAGGTACCGCTCCATGAAGTCAATCTGGCTTATACTTTTGAACTGCTGCTCGAAAATGTCAATCTGAAAAAAGAAACATTATATATATATATATATATATATATATATATATATATATATAT